GTGGGTAAAATCTCTGAAGTCCTAAGTGGGAGAATATTATATGCATTCACGTGGTTTTCTTTTTTTTTTCCATCCCCCAGGCACATGTCTGTTTTATAATATGAGGTACACATATATCATTTACATTTGGCCTAATTTATCATCTCATGGCTGAAACTGACAGGTCACCTTGCAAAATGCAGGGGAACACCCCTCAATTTTGCAAGCAGCATCTATTGATATTAATGTCACCTTCTCCCATCTCCCTCCCTGAGTGTTGTGAGAATACCATGGGATATGAGTAGGAAGGTACTCAGAGATGCTTTGTGCAGTAGACAGGCCCAGTGTAATCTTGTTCCTTCTGTCCTTGGCAAGAAGGAGCAGCCTCCACATCAAGGTGCCCAGAGGAGAAAGGGGCTCAGTGGTGTGAGGACGGGACATTAGATTACAAGTGTGCATAATTAGAGCAAATTATCTTCATTAGAAAATAAGCAAATTATTTTCCAACTTAATGAATAAGCAGCTTCTAATGAACTCCAGTAGAGAGATTTGCTTTCAAATCTCAGTAGCTAAGCTCTGTGTTCTTTGTATTAATGTGTTGTTTTTATGGCTCACCTTAATGTTTTTCTTACTGTTGTCTATTGGAGTAACAGAATCTGAGAGATGAAAAGCAACCCCAGAGGTGATTCAGCCTCTCATTTTAAGTTTTAAAAAAGGGGTGGTGTAACAAGACAGGGATGTTCACTCTCACCACTGCTATTCAACATAGTACTGGAAGTCCTAGCCTCAGCAATCAGACAACAAAAAGACATTAAAGGCATTCAAATTGGCAAAGAAGTCAAACTCTCCCTCTTTGCCGTGACATGATACTCTACATAGCAAACCCAAAAGTCTCCACCCCGAGATTGCTAGAACTCACAGCAATTTGGTAGTGTGGCAGGATACAAAATCAGTGCCCAGAAATCAGTGGCATTTCTATACACTAACAATGAGACTGAAGAAAGAGAAATTAAGGAGTCAATCCCATTTACAATTGCACCCAAAAGCATAAGATACCTAGGAGTAAACCTAACCAAAGAGGTAAAGGATCTATACCATAAAAACTATAGAACACTTCTGAAAGAAATTGAGGAAGACACAAAGAGATGGAAAAATATTCCATGCTCATGGATTGGCAGAATTAATATTGTGAAAATGTCAATGTTACCCAGGGCAATTTACATGTTTAATGCAATCCCTATCAAAATACCATGGACTTTCTTCAGAGAGTTAGAACAAATTATTGTAAGATTTGTGTGGAATCAGAAAAGACCCCGAATAGCCAGGGGAATTCTAAAAAAGAAAACCATATCTGGGGGCATCACAATGCCAGATTTCAGGTTGTACTACAAAGCTGTGGTCATCAAGACAGTGTGGTACTGGCACAAAAACAGACACATAGATCAATGGAACAGAATAGAGAACCCAGAAGTGGACCCTGAACTTTATGGTCAACTAATATTTGATAAAGGAGGAAAGACTATCCATTGGAAGAATGACAGTCTCTTCAATAAATGGTGCTGGGAAAATTGGACATCCACATGCAGAAGAATGAAACTAGACCACTCTCTTACACCATACACAAAGATAAACTCAAAATGGATGAAAGATCTAAATGTGAGACAAGATTCCATCAAAATCCTAGAGGAGAACACAGGCAACACCCTTTTTGAACTCAGCCACAGTAACATCCACGAAGGCAAAAGAAACAAAAGCAAAAATGAACTATTGGGACTTCATCAAGATAAGAAGCTTTTGCACAGCAAAGGATACAGTCAACAAAACTAAAAGACAACCTACAAAATGGGAGAGGATATTTACAAGTGACGTATCAGATAAAGGGCTAGTATCCAAGATCTATAAAGAACTTATTAAACTCAACAGCAAAGAAACAAACAATCCAATCATGAAATGGGCAAAAGACATGAAGAGAAATCTCACAGAGGAAGACATAGACATGGCCAACACGCACATGAGAAAATGCTCTGCGTCACTGGCCATCAGGGAAATACAAATCAAAACCACAATGAGATACCGCCTCACACCAGTGAGAATGGGGAAAATTAACAAGGCAGGAAACCACAAATGTTGGAGAGGATGCGGAGAAAAGGGAACCCTCTTGCACTGTTGGTGGGAATGTGAACTGGTGCAGCCACTCTGGAAAACTGTGTGCAGGTTCCTCAAAGAGTTAAAAATAGACTTGCCCTATGACCCAGCAATTGCACTGCTGGGGATTTACCCCAAAGATACAGATGCAATGAAACGCCGGGACACCTGCACCCCAATGTTTCTAGCAGCCATGTCCACAATAGCCAAACTGTGGAAGGAGCCTTGGTGTCCATCGAAAGATGAATGGATAAAGAAGATGTGGTTTATGTATACAATGGAATATTACTCAGCCATTAGAAATGACAAATATCCACCATTTGCTTCAACGTGGATGGAACTGGAGGGTATTATGCTGAGTGAAATAAGTCAATCGGAGAAGGACAAACAGTGTATGTTCTCATTCATTTGGGGAATATAAATAATAGTGAAAGGGAATATAAGGGAAGAAAGAAGAAATGTGTGGGAAATATCAGAAAGGGAGACAGAACATAAAGACTCCTAACTCTGGGAAACGAACTAGGGGTGGTGGAAGGGGAGGAGGGCAGGGGGTGGGGGTGAATGGGTGACGGGCACTGGGGGGGGCACTTGACGGGATGAGCCCTGGGTGTTATTCTGTATGTTGGTAAATTGAACACCAATAAAAAATAAATTTATTAAAAATTTAAAAAAGGGGTGGTGTACAAAATATGGCCCAGAGAGATCCTGTGGGATCCTGTGACTTATCTAAGATCCCATAACTGGTCAGCTATCCACTGGACCAGGTCCCTAAACATGGGTCTGACCAGCACCAGAAGGGCCGCAGCCAGACTCTGGGGACTGTCATATTTGCCCCTGGATTAGCTCTGTTTTCCTTCTGCTCTCTAGCTTTATTCTAGGCCCATTTTGCCCCTGTTGTCATCTTTCTTCCTCGGCACTGCTTCTGCTGGTAGAATGCTCTGGTCTGACCCCTGGTCTCTACCTTCTCTATCCCCTTCTAGCTCCAGGCCAATATCCTGGCTCCTGGCTCTGCCCTGCGTGGCCTACCACCTGGCATGCCATCTCCTCTGGTCAACCCTAGGGCCTACAGTGAGTCCTTTCACTGACAGCTGGACCAGACATGGTCAAGCATATCTGGGAGCCATCCACCCTAGTTCCTCTTCCAGAGCACTGGGGATCAGGAGATTGGGATAAAATTGGCCCAACAACCCAGATCACCTGATCCTTAATTCTGGGCCTTTTCCCTAATTTTTTAAATTAATGAACTTTATTTTTTAGAGGAGTTTTAGGTTCATAGCTAAGTTGGGTAGAAAGTACAGAGTGTTCTCATACACCCCCTGTCTGCACACACATACAGCCTCCCCCCACTGTTGGCATCCAGCAACTCAGTGGTATATTAAGTGGGTGTCTGTGGAATACAAGAGCAGGTAAGTAGTCAGTCTCAGATCACTTTGTTCTGCCTTGGCATTCTTTGGTCTGGTAGTCTGTCCCCCAGGGCAGGTGGCTGCTGACAGCATCAAAATTCACGCATGGAGATAGCCCTGCTCTAGCCCTCTGCCTTCTCTGTCTTTCCAACTAATTTCAAATTCCTGGAGCTGGGGTTCCAATTGACTGTGGTTGGGTCAGGTGTCCATTCCCCAGGGCATCATACTGAGATTGGGGTTCTGTATAGTCATGGCTGCCAGGGGACTCCCCTCTGAGGACAGGAAGGAGAGTAAGAAAGAAGGAGGCAGTTTAGGGTGTCCTTATAAGCTGAGCAGATAACCCAAAAGACATCTACTATACCATGATACTGTATAATCCAGGGTCTCCTATAAATTTTCCCTCTGCCTTTTTTCCAAATCCTTTATTAATATTGGCCCCAAATTTCTGGCCATTGCCAGAGGTTCATCTTTGGACCTTTGCTCTTCCCCTTATTCTCACTTTCTTAGAGTGTTATCCTTTGACTTGTTCTTCCTCACCAGCTATGAGGTCCCCTACACCCCCATCCTCCAAACCTGTGTAGACCTACCACAAGTGGCCACATCCAGAGACAAATGTCTTTCCTCTGAGACTGGGTCCCCACTTCTTACCTCTCATAAATAATCACTAAGCCTTTTTGCTCCTGCTTTGGAGTACTCTTGGCTAATAGGACATGTGGTACTGATTTTCTCACAAATAGCCACCCTCTGGGTAATTTGGAAGACACATTGACAATGCACAGCGGTTCTCATTTTATATTTTAAAACCAAGGCAATCCATTAATTTTCCATCAAGGAATCCTTTTATAATGGACACTTTCATAAGAGTTGTGAAAACTGCATTTGGAACAGCATATTTAAACCTTATGATGTTGAGCTGTTGAATTTATATGTACTTTCAAATGTTAGTCTTCCAGTTTTCTAAGAAAAGCAGCATTCTCTCTGAAATTGCCCGTTATATGGGAAATGCAGGTGATTACTGCTAATTCACATCTGTACTATCACCTAGGTGGCGAGTTTGGGGGTTTGGTGAAGCGCATTGGTATGCACTCATCAAAAGTTATGTGTATGTGCACAGTGGAAGGCATTTTTTTTGGAAGGCATTTTATATAATTCCAAACAATTTAATAAAAATGTAATTCGACTGGGAAATCTACAGCCGGCCCTTGCAGAGTGCAGATAATGTTCCAGATTAAAGAGCTGAGGCTTTGTTCATTACAGTCAAATAACGTAAGTGTGTGAATTACCATTTCCTTGCCGTTGGTCTATTTCAAGAGTATGCCATTTTCCCACTATAATAATAGACTACATTTTCTTAAAATCATTTGATTATGATTGGTCCCGTCTATTCAGTTTGCAAATAAAAAGCTTTTGCAGTGATAAACTAGCTGTTTTAAAATAGCCTTAATCTCTGGTTCTGCTTTTGAACCGCCACAGGTCAGACTCTGCGAAAGGGTGACAGAAGCCGCTCGTGCTCGCGGGAGAAAAAGGAGGTAAATGTGGTCACTGGTGAAGGTGGGTGGGAAGCATCTGTGTTTGAAAGGACCTGAGAGAGCATGCTGGTGAGTAAGGATTCCTGGATTTCCTGCTTGGGTCTCTCTGAGTTTCAGGCTTGAATCCTGGACCAAACGAGAAGTGACACCTAGAATTCTCAACCAAAGTGTCACTCGTAGTAACAATCTCTTACAAAGTGGATCAGTTAGCTTTGTCTGCGTAACAAATCAAACCCACATTTCAGTGATGTGAAACAACGGCTGTGCATTTAGTTCGTGATTCTGTGAGTTGTCAGTTTGGGCTAGGCAGTTCTGCTGATTTCAGCTGTACTTAGGCATTTGCAGTGAGCCACTGTGTCACCTTGGGGATGGCTGATATCAGTAGTGTGTTTTGGCTCTCTTTCAGTGCTTTCTCGTCTACCAGCAAGCCAGCCAGCTTTGTTCATATGGGGGTTCAGGGAGTTAAGAACATGAAGAGGGGAAGCTGCAGGAACTCTCAAGCCCTGGGCTTGGAACCAGCACGGTGTCACTTCTCCCAGTTTGTTTTCTTTAAAGCAAGTCACATGGTCAGGCCAGATTGAAGGGGTGGGAATAGGCCTCACCTCTGGATGGGAAGTCTACAAATACTGTGGCCATTCTTGAAACCCGCAGCACTGAGCCCACCTGCTCTGTACTTGGCATAAGGGATGAGAGAGACAGCCCTGATCTCAGGATGTGCTTGGTGTAGATGGAAGGGATGTGCAACAGGATCATTATAATGCCGTGTGAGAAGGACAAAGAGAGTGGAATTTCAATACAGAAAAGGGGTCTCCTGACTCTGCCAGTGGTCTCCAGAAAGGCATGCAGCAAAGCCTCTTAAAGAATGAGCAGCAGTTTTTTGGGCCAAGTAAAGAGCATAGTCAAAGTCCGAGAGAAACAGAAGGTTGCAAGATTACTGAGCTGGAGGGTACAAAGTGGAAGCAAGGACCCCGAGGTTATCACAGGGCCCTTGGATCAAGTCTCAAGCTCATAGGAGTCTGGATTTGAGTCTTACGTTGTGGCAGATGGGTGTAGGGGTACCAGGGTGTGAAGGCATGTGACTCATCATAAGTATGGACCGATGTTGAAATTCATCAGCTCTTACCTGCTGCATCCTCAGAGTTGGCCTCACCTCAGACAACTGAGGCAGGTCGAGGTTGGACCACGAAGGACCTCGTATGCTTTGCAGTAGCTGTCATCCTGCCCCCTCTTGTCTCCTTTCTCCTCTGTAGCCAGAATAGCCAGTGTAGGTTTTCTTCTTATTTAAACATTCTACCTGGTTCGCAGGCTGGGACTTTGGTGCTGCTTGAAAACATCTAAGTGTCAGCCCTGGTGGCCATTCTAGAAACTGAAACAGGGTGGGTTCTGTTGCTCCTTCCTGGTAGGAACATTTTTCTGGAAGCAGGAGCAGGCGTGCCCATCTCCCACAAGGTCCTTCCAGGGACTTGGAGGGTAGAGGAGCCAGAACAGGAGTGAGCACAGGCCCACAGGCTCCTGGCCTCCCTTAGGGAAGTGACCTAGGGTGGGGACCAACCCCTACACCCCTCCATCCTCCCAGCCAGAAATGAACTGTTTCAACCTAACGGAGGCTTTCAGTCACAGAGTAACATCATCACATTTATCCACATTAAGAGATTTGCTAGGAATCAACAGAGCAGGGCAGCAGGTAACTAGTTGAGATACTCGTTTCCACCTCTCTCTTTCTCCTTGGCAACAAGACTCCCTAATTGCTGCTTTCCTGGCTACTCCCATCATGCCAGTTGCCCGAGAGCATTTCAGATCACTCCTCTTCTGCAAAGTGCTTGAAATGAGAAAAAAAACAGAGCAGAGATATTTATCACAATATCTAACTTTCACCCCGAAAGATATTTAAAATGGTTTTAGGCCTTTCTGAAAAAGAGGGTGCTGACTCTCCTAACAGGGCTTTTGTTTGGTTAGAAAAACAAGAGAAAGAAACAAAGAGCAAGCTACTAGGATGCTCATCTTGATATAACATGCTTTTCCTGCCCTCCTCCTCCTCCCACATCCCTCCCCCATCACCTGCAAAATTGTACTTGCTGACACTCTGGGCCTTACACAAGATGCCAGGTATAGATCAGACTCTGTCACCATGAAAGGCAAGGAGAAGACAAGCTGGTTGGAACAAGCAGACAGGGAGGTGCATCATGTTGCTTCGGTAGTGAGGTGTCATAGACCTGCTCACCCCATGGCAGGTGAACATGCTGTTTCCTTCCGGGGTCGGGACTGGGTACCTGTCTGTGTGGTCATGGCGCAACATGGCGAAGTGAGGAGGGGAGGCTGTTCTCAACGAGCTCATCAGGTCAAATTCAAGCCAAAGATGTTTTATTTGGCCTAGACTCTATTACATTTTTTTGAAAATTAGATGCCTGCATTTACGACTTTCACATAAAAATGCACACTTCTGGCTTCTTTGATAAAATGGAGAAGAAGAGCAGAGGCCTTATTTCCATAAGGCAACACTAGGGAATGGCTGGTGTTGAGGTAGGCACCCCGCTCTCCATGGGGTCCTCCATTCAGCCATCCCTGCCCTCCACACATAGCTACCTAGTAGCAAACAGGTACCAGCAACCATATTGTGGCAGCCCCGTGCCGTGCCGTGCCGAGTGCTGTGTGTCAGCAGTCACAAACACTGTTGCACACTAGAATCACCCAGGAGCTTTTTTTTTTTTTTTAAGATTTTATTTATTTATTCATGAGAGATACAGAGAGAGAGAGAGAGGCAGAGACACAGGCAGAGGGAGAAGCAGGCTCCATGCAGGGAGCCCAATGTGGGACTCGATTCTGGGTCTCCAGAATCAGGCCCTGTGCTGAAGGCGGCGCTAAACCGCTGAGCCACCCGGGCTGCCCCTTCCCCAGGAGCTTTTTATTTTTATTTTTTAATTTATTTTTATTTTCTTTTTAAAGATAGATAGATAGATTTATTTATTTATTTATTTATTTATTTATTTATTTATTTATTTATTTATTTATTTGAGACAGAAAGAGAGGCAGAGACACAGGCAGAGGTTGAAGCAGGCTCCAGGCAGGGAACCTGACATGGGACTCGATCCAGGGTCTCCAGGATCACACTCTATGCTGAAGGCGGCGCTAAACCGCTGAGCCACCCGGGCTGCCCCTTCCCCAGGAGCTTTTTATTTTTATTTTTAAATATATTTTTATTTTCTTTTTAAAGATTTATTTATTTATTTATTTATTTATTTATTTATTTATTTATTTATTTATGAGAGACAGAGAGAGAGGCAGAGACACAGGCAGAGGGAGAAGCAGGCTCCAGGCAGGGAACCTGACATGGGACTCGATCCAGGGTCTCCAGGATCACGCCCTGGGCCGAGGCAGCGCTAAACCGCTGAGCCCCAGGCTGCCCCCCAGGAGCTTTTTAAATACCCCAAAGTTTAGGCCTCTTTCCAAACCAGTTAAATCATAATCTGTGGGGGTGGGGCCCAGGCTTGAAGATTTTATAACCACCTCCTAAGCACAGGTGAAAGCCAGTGCTTGGTCTGTGTTAAGTAACCCTTGTCCTCGTCCTTTCCTGAGCACTGCGTGCCTGTATGGCCCCAAAACACCCCAGTTCTCAAAGCCCTCCCACAGATACACATAAAACCCCAACAGGTGCCAGAGGAGGGAGAGAAGGCTTCCTGGAAGAGGCAGCTTGAACCCCGAGGTCTTGAAAGGGCTACAGTCTTTGCAGAAACATGCATATGATGGCTAGCTGGAAGCCAATAGATACTTTTCTCCGTTTAGCTAGGTAAAAATATTCTCGGCCTTGTCTCTAACAAGTATTCATGGTTTCTGCCTGTGGAGATTATATAGTGTTTATGGCCCTTGGTCATGAATTATTAATGATTTTGAAATTGTGGTCATTGTAGTTTACTCAAAAATCATTAGGAAGTAAATTTATCACACAGTGCTCAAAAAAAGTAGAAAAGAAAATCACGAAGGAGGGAAAAAAAGTCTTTATTCATCAGCTCCCCAGCACCGTGGGGCTCATGGCTCATGGGCATGGCACTGGAGACACATCCTGTGACACAGAGCCACAGGGGCCCCAAGAAAATGAATTAGTTCCCACAATGCATTCTTCCTGTCTCAGACAGATCCCAGTCATATGACCTTGGATGATTCTCTTGACTCCTCATACCGCCTTTTGAGATTTTTGTTTACTGGGCAGTAATGTGTTAAAGTACCCTGCACGATGCCAGACCTGTAGTAAGCATTCCATAAATATTCGTTGTTATGGTATTTTAATCATTTCTTAGCATGTCTGATATTTAACAGAGAGATATTCATGTCCTTGGACAGAGAAGGCGCACAATTATATTTCTTACTGAAGGGGTCTCCCTTGCTCCAGCTGGACTTTGGGCTGATTCCAGCCTTCCAATCTCCTGGCTGTGTGCCCTCAGGCAGGTGGGCCCAGGCAGGCTAGATCCAGTGCCCCTACTCTGAAGCAGTCTGAGAGTCTCCTGTGATAATGCACTGCTGCCTTTTGCAGCTGATTGGAGATTCTGAAAAATGCTCTTAACAGCACACTCATCTGCTGAGCTCACTTTGTAAAGGACTGCAAAAGTCATTTAACTCAACCACCTAGAAAATGTTAAGCTTTCCCTCTGCATGCAGGTACAAGCGCATGCACGCACCGCATGCTTACACATACACACACACACAAGCACTTCCTGCTACTAAGCAAAGCCACTCAGTGCAAGGACTAGAGACTCCTTCCATCTTTGCCACATGGCAAGAGGAACTGGATCTCAGGAGAACACAGTGAAGGAGAGTCCAGGAATCAGGCTGCTTCCAGGGATGGGGAATGCTGGATGACCCTCTCTTTGGACCATCACAGATATGCCACCCCACCCCTCTGGTCTATGCACCTGTCATTGTCTTGATGCTCTTCCCTATCCTTCCTTCTCCCTCCCCTTCCCTACCTTCCTTCTCCCAGTTCAGACACAGAAAGAGAGTCTGATTGA